TTTGTGAAAGGTTTTTTCCTCGTGAGTTTTCGTTTTTTTCTTCTTTTTTTTCTTTACAAAAAGTCTTTTTGAATAACGTCATTAGATATAGGACTCCATTTAAATTTTTATTACTTCCGCTTGGTAAAAAGTGATTGAATTTACTATTGTTGCTTATAATTCATTGCAGCTTTGTTATCCATAACTTTGCTTGTAGCAGTTAAAAAAAGATTGAAACTAGTATTACCGCCAAGCAGTAAGAGGACAGTTACCATTTGATTCCCTCAGTTGGTCTGAATTTCGATAAGCAATACGATTATAATTGGTATTAATATGACTATAAATTCGGTTTGCAACAGTCAAGAACCAATTAAAACCTGTATAAATATCAAATACAGATTTCTAGCTTAATGTCACCATTCTAGCTAGTCGGAACAACTTATGAAAAGATTAGAATTTCCCCCGACAATCAAATAATAGATTTCACTAGGAAAAAAAATGAAGTTTATGATGCCATTCAGCAAAGAGTTCCTGTTAATATTTATGGCTCTATATAGTCTTAAAATGTTGCCGGCAAATTGTCTCTCTCGGTGATATTGCAAAAAATTTTATTTGCTGCAGTTTGAACCTTCCATTGCTATCGAAAGAGCTTCAGTAGAAATTCAAAATTCTTAGCTAAATTCTTCATTGCGATAAGTATTTATAAAGTAGAAAACATTGAACTTCTTCATGCATTGTAGTATGCAAGATAATAACATTAATTTTTATTCCCATAACAAAAAATGAGGAGATAATTCTTAACTCATGAATATTTTTAACTAGTTCAACGTCGCAAAGTTTCTATACCGGTTTTTATAATTTAGTAACAAAATTTACAATACCCAAGTTAAAAATCCACCATATATTGAGTTATTTTCCGTCATATATTATCATATCGAATTAATCCATTAGGAAATATCCAAAAAATAATCCCTGCTGCCAAGATTCTACCATCAGAATATTTTTTTGGAAGCAAACAGAAATTATTTGATGTTTAGAATATTTAAGAAAACTTTGTTAGCAAAAAAGATTTTTTCTGTGTTGTAAGAAATGATGATTCTCTGTTGTACGAAAACTACGGGTAGTATAATTTTTCTATAGTTGTTTAACAAACTTATTCGATCCACAAAATATGAACTTTATAGTTATTTGAATACAGATTAAAAGTTAACGTACATCCATAAAAATACCTTTTTGCAAAGATCGGTTAGTTTAAATTGTACTAACTGTATTCAGTTTAACAAAATATTTTAATCGTTATTGCATGAAACTGTGAGCAGATATTTAAATCCTAAATAATATTCTCTAATGAGGCGTACTGAGTTTGAAGAGTGCTACTCAAAATAATTCCTCTGCTTATCCAATTTATTAGGCAAAATGCTCATGGTTTGATGAAATTGAATATAGCTTACTAAGCTCACTATTAACAAGCAACTAAACTTGAAAGAGATATTTAAACTCAGAATACACCCTTAATCCAACTGGAAATGCAATCAAGTCAGGAAGTTTCGTGGAGCTCTATCTCTTGTGTCTTAATTACACTTTCAAGAGTTAGGCGAGACTTGTAAAGCTGTCGGTCCTTTAGGGAGGCTTTACTTTGTATAGATGTTTCAAAAGGAATATGCAAAGAGTTCATTTAAATTGAGAATAATCAATGATACTTTAAACAGCACCTTTTATTCTAGTTTTTAATCCTGCTGAGTGTGCTCGATACCAGCTAAAGTTTCCCGCTGGTAAGCGTCATTAGGTATAAAAGGAATAATACCCTTAGAAATGATATAGAATCGCTAAGTTGCAACAAAAAATGTACAAGTATTCAGGTTTATAATCTTTATTTTCTCAATGAAATTTGTAATTCAATTGTAAATAGGCTTTATTTAATTCTGCATAAAAGCGTTTTCTTCAGGGTTTATTCATGTCCTTATCATTGTTTGAAAATCATGAATCTTTATCCCGATTGCGTATGAAACCTAGTACCACACTTCAACTTATAAAAAGCAAAAAAAAATTTCGATTTCTTAAAACAAATTAACTAACTATCTCAGAAAAAGGTAAGAGTAAGACATTGTGGCTGCACATAATGCCATCTCGAAGTAAGTTTGGGATTAGTTTCAGTACAAACGGTACTCGCAATGAAGTAAAAATTTTATTCATGAAACTTTAGAACAATTTCAGTTTAACACTAACTTCTGTGTATTAATATGGACAGCAAAACGTACCAGATAAGTGTTTCTTATTCCTAAAAAATTGACTATTGAAAATCGCTGGAAAAGATTGTTTTTCGAACCAGAAAAACGTAGCGTAAAATTAAATTTGCGCACATTAAAACAAATATAGAAACAGTTGAGACTAAAGTTAAATGCAGGTAAAATACAAATTTTACGTGCTCTATTTGCAACTTTTAAATACAATTAATACATCTTCAGTTTAACTAATGAAAAAAAATCCTAGATTTCTTTTCCTTTTATGAGGCATCTCATAATCATGTTCATTTATCTATTAACCCATTAAACGCCGCCATATAAATCATTGATAAAAAATTGGAATTTTGGTATGTTTTAAGGTGTAATGGACATTTCTAACCATATGAGCTTTAAATTTAAAAAAAAAATTAATTGGTTAAAAGATATAATAGGGTCCCAAAATGGGAGACTTGGCGTTTAATGGGACTAACGTAGCTCACTTACACACTACGCTAGAAGTTAAACGTTTAGTTTCATTACTTGTATATATTTTGATAAAAATCGCCAAATCTATTTTAATGGGATCAATAAAGTTAAATTTGAAATAAACATGCTTGAACGAAGAAGCAAAATAGTTCATAAATATTTTTACCAGTTTTATTATTATTCTTCAAATTTGCCGGTTCTACATTTTTGTATGAAGCAAAATTGTACACTTTTTGTGAAGCATTACTTTACATTTTTCACAACACAAAGGACTGTTCTTTTTGCACAACTTATATTTTGACTACTTACCAGCTTGTGAAATTAAGTGATTAACTCCATCAAATCGAATGTTGGTATTTACTTGCCCATGTGGTCCAAGTCCATTAGGCAAAGTCTCCGGTCCGTCCCATCACTACATCGCGAAGAAATGTTAATTTTGACATCTGTACATTAACCTCACGATGAACCCTCCTTGCTGTTACCACAGCCATGTTAAGAATGTTGGTAAAAAAGGGCCACCACCACTTTTTACATTTTATTTTTGGTCTGTAAATACTGAAATCGGTCAAGAATATCAACACCACCCATGTTCTGATTATATGAGGCAACTATTCCAGGTTGAGGTAAATCAGTTTTCTTCCTGGACTTTTGGCACCGACGTTTTACACGTCCTATTGGTTCAATTCCCTCAAAATTTGATGCCAGGAATACAATTTTATTGTCTTTCCATTTTACAACACTAACACTCTTTGTTGTAACGCAGATATAATACTACAAGCACGTAAAACTACATTTATGACCTGAGAATTTATCAGTATCTAATGTTTCCATATAATCAATGCTTGCTGCACAGTTAGAAACCTGCGAGCCACTTTTAAAAAGTTCCTTAGAAAAAAAGAACCACACTCACCGAACGATTAGATCAAAATACTGAGAATTTTTTTTTTTATCTTACAGTTTGAAACATTCTATGTGACAGAATGGATAATGGGAGGGGTCACAATGAGCAATTCAACACCTGCACTGATAATATTTGACCTTCAACAACAAAAGAGAGGGTACTAAGTATGACGAAAAAGAATCCATAAATATTTGCCTTTATGTAAATGTGTTGAGGATGGTGTTAGTCACAGAATGCCAAGTCTCCCATTTTGGGACCTCTTTAAATAAACAACTGTAAAATCGGTCTAAATCAATTTTTTAAAATTTTGTTGGCGACTATATGATGACAGAACAATTGTTTTGTATATTCAATATTTTTAAATTTCTCGACTTGAAAAATTATTTTTTTTCTGAAATTATTTTCATTTGAAGTAAAAAAAGCGATTTTGATTACATTTAGGCAATTTCTAAACAAGCAATTTACATTTCGAACCTTCTGTGAACATTTCTAATAAAACTAAAAACTTTCAACAGTCGATAAAAAAATATAAAAAATATGCATGTGAATTACTCAGCGAGAAAAAAATTCTTAAACAAAGGTTGCCAAAATGGGAGACTTGGCACTTAATGGGTTAAATACCTTTTTTTCATCTCGGCTACTTAGTACAATTCGAAAGCGAAAAGATAATAATTCTTATAAGTTAGCTCTTACTAAGAATGCTTTCAATTGTTAATCTGTGAAAACGTATAGTGACAAATTTCAAAATTAAGAAAAGGAAGGTGACAAGAAGAAAAGCCAAGCAATTTTCAAAGCTACAAATTGTAATTTTGTTTAACTTTTCAGATAACTAAATTCTAGTAATATTATTTTACAACCAGATTTAAGTAAACTTAGGTATAATTAAGTAATCTTGATTACTTTCTTATCATTGATAATTATTCTTCCATTTTTACCTACAGTGAATTTATGGAATTTATTTATGGTATTATTTGGTATCATTGGTATTATTTATTATTATCTTTCGATTAATTCTAAAACTAACAGAGGTTTGGTAATTTCACTTACTGAAACATATGAATTCTAATTTGAGCTAAATTATGTTATTAACACCATACGTTATATGTAATTTGTTGCACTTTTTTGCACAGACTGAATCGTTTTTTGTAAATAATGTAATTATTTTCAAATATATGAGGATGTTAAGCATTGAACCCTAATTTCTTGATATGAACTCAGAAGAAAATGTGACCTATACACTAAGTTAATGAAGAAAGAATGTCACTCAAGTAAATGCTCCATATTTTTCTCCTTATGTAATGAACTTTCGTATTCAAACTATAACTCTATTAAGCAAATTTACGTTAATAGTTTTTGGAAAAAAACTGCTACTTGATTTATTAGTTTCTAATTAAATATTGTATTTTTTTCAGCAAAATGTGGATTAGATTGCGGCAACAATGGACAGTGTGAAGAAGGAAGATGTCGTTGTGACCCAGGTTGGAGTGGTGCACGTTGTGATCAAAAGACATGCGACAATCGTTGTCACGATCATGGACAGTGCAAAAATGGTACTTGCGTCTGTGTTCAAGGCTGGATGGGTACGCATTGCACTTTGGGTACGTGATTTTTTTATTTAATTTTATTTATGCATTCTGTCATAGTAAACTTATTTCTTTAATACCTTATTACTTCGTAAATTTTTCATTTGAAAATGAAATATTTTCGATTATCAATATATTTAGGAGAAAATCTCTCTTTCGTGATTTAAAAAAAAATCAGAAGATGGGCTGTTCGCCACACATCCAAGAGACATAGATAACATAGATTCAAGTATAATTTCAGAAGGGTTTTTTTCTTCAATTTATGGATGTTTCCAGAAGTTATCTTTCCAGAACTTAAAAAATTACAAGATAAGCTACTTGCCACATATCCAATAGTCACAGACTGAAGTATTTTTGAAGTTTAGGTTTGTTTCTTCAATTTATTGGTGTATATTGAAGTTATTTTGCAAGGGAAAAAAAAAGAAGGTCGCATTTTTAGTGCCTTTAATTGAAAACAAAGCTTGACTTCCAAACTATGTATACTATCCAAGAAATGAAGTGTCTGAACTTTAAACTGGGGAAATAGCTTAAATATGAAAACAAAACTATGATACACTTTTTAAAAATTCTCAAATTCAGAGGTATTACGAAAACGTTAAAACCAATCAATAATTTTCAATTTTGAATACTTTATGGAGCCACCCTTTGGAGTAGCTTTACAAATATTAAAAAATAAATCGCAAAAACTTTAAAATAAATAGCTTTTCCTCTCATAGAAATTTTGTGCCATTTTCAATATTAAAATGGATAACGCTGGTGGAAGAAGGACCAAACTTAAACTAACAGTCAAGAATAACTGTTATAAACTCACAACTGAAGTAAAAGTAGTATTTTGTTCTCTTCAAAGCGTTATATCCTATAACGGCAGTGTGTTTGAAGAATTGCCTTAGGCTCTTTCGTGTACTTACTAATAAACGAAGCAATATTAACAGTATCAGGTAAATACAAGACATGAACGATCCATAATTTTAAGGCATTCCTATGATGCGAACGAAATATGATATAAAACAAATTTGAAATAATTTTTCTTTTCTATTAGGATAACAGTTCAGTTTCTGGTTTTTCTAGTATAATTTAGGCTGAGTGAATTTTCCTTTTAAGGTAATTGGATAAAGCATTTAAATGTAAAATGTTTACTTTTGCGTGTACTTTGAATCTTTGGAAAATGCCACTGTATTTGGATCTAATATGAAAAGTATTTTTAAATATAGAAGCACGGCAAAGTTTCAATGGCTAGTTATATTTATTTTCCTAGGTAAATTCAACTCTATGGATTTATCTTTTAAAACTCCATTATTTGATGTAACTGCGCTTAGTTTGAATGCATGCCCTAGTAACTTAAAAGCATTGTTGAATAAAAAATATTTTATGCAATTCAGTAACTTAAAAAAATGTGAGCGAGATAGAGGATTTTATTTTTCCCTATATATAATTTTCTTAAAATTCAGGCAAAGATAAGATATTAAATTTTTCTTGTCTTACTAAGGTTTGATTGATGGACGTAAGCGAGGTGAACTATCCCTGTCACTTTAAGGTGAGGAGTTGGTTGTCATAAACTAGATTGATTTCTTATTGAATGGACATTTTTTAAGAACTCAAAGTTATATGAATTAAAAAGAAAGTCTGCTAGTCACGTAAAACTGCTTGTGAATTTTCCAACTTTTATACTTCCATAATCGCTATTTCCCCAGCTATTTTTCAAAACTTATAAAATGTAAGATCATTTCGATATTTACATATATTTTAAAAAGACAAAAAGTTTTAGTATCTGCGTGCTCATAATTTGTCTTTGGCTAAAATGTTTCGCTAAGCGCAAAATTACACACTCCATGAATTAAAGCTTAACCTTTATTGGAATCTAAAAAACACATTGTAACAATTAATATCGTGCAAAGCTGGAAAAGGGAAATCTAAGTGTCTATGAAAGGGTAAAAAAGAAAAATTGTGACTAAGAAAGATATAGAAAGCAAGCTTATTTCAAAATTGTGTATAAGTTTTAAAGAAAGTGAAATCAGTTTAGTTCAAGATATAGTTTAGGATTCAGCACATAACATAGCATGTTTGTCTAAGCTCTTTCCAATCTATGTTAAACACAGCGTTGTAAAGATCAGTAACGTTAAAGGTTCAAAAGACGTCATGAGGACGTCGTTTAGTTATATCAACCCTTCAGAACTCAAATCGAGTTTCAAGTGCATTTTATGACAATATTTTCATTTTCAAAAGCATGACAAGTTAAATCAATATTTATTATAATTATTTAACAAAGATAAAATAGTATTTTTTTTTAAAATAACGCAATTCGTTTCATTTAAAATATTTTTATATGAAACATTTGAAGCAGAATTTTTAACAAACATATTTGTCTCAATTATTTTCATTATTAAGTATTATTTTAGGTAAAATTAAGTGAAAAATATTATAATTTTATATTTGGCATCTTCATAATTTATGATTATAAAATACAGCATGTAACATCGGTATCTTTTTCTGAGTTATTAGTTAAATCTTCCACATACGGCTCGGTTCCAAACAAAAATATTTAAAATTTGCCTTTATTTGGATGTAAGAGCAATCATTCATCATTAATTTTTTTATTTAAACAAAATTCAATTATTTATAAATTTTTTAATATTAATAAAAAAATCTTAGCTACTTTTTAAAGCTTATATTTCAGTACAAATTTAAGTTTTAGTTACTGTAAGACTGCTTTTTAGATTTAAAATTACGAAAATATATTTTTGCTAGCAATTACAGCTTCAGAAAATGAACACTGATGTCCTATCTGCGTCAAGAGGCTAAATAAGATTATTTTCGTCTTAATTCAAATGCCCTTACTTTATTTTTATAATATCCTTTTAAACGAGATTGGAATTCTTGTGCTAATACAGGTCTTGTTTATAAAACTGGAATAAATTTTAGAACTATATAACAAATTTTTACTTAGTAATAATAATTTTTACAAACATTTCTGCTAATGGATACTTTGTACAAAGTCCATGATTATTTTGAACTTAGTGTTCTTTAAAATAAAATTTGGCACATTTAGCTGCCTTTCAAACAACGGTTTCAAATGCTCTGCTATTTTGAATATATGTTTGAAATAATATGCTAATTAGAAAATAATATAAAATATTAGATATAGTAGTTTTTTTAAATGTAAAAATAAGACTTTTGAATTTTTTCTTGTAATGTCTCACAATATTTTAGAATTATTATTAATATTTTTTTTAAATATCTAATAATTTCTAATGGACGGAGAATAATATTTTGTTCAAAAGTTTATAAGAAGTATATTATAAAAGTTTTGTGAAAAAATATTCAAAACTGGAAGAGGAGTAGCAATTTAAAATTTAGGTTTAAAAATAAAACATTAATTTTTTCAATTTTTTAGTATGCTGTTATTTATGCTAATGGGTATATTTAAATGAATAAAATCGAATCAAAAGCCATAACATTTTTTTAATATAAGTTACCACGTTCCTTAATAAATAAGTATAAATTTTAAATTACAAAATTCTGAAAGTCCCAGTTCAAAACTAACTGCTACGAACAAATTATTATTAAAGAGCCGTAATGTTGACGATTCTAAATTGAAATGTTGAAACAAACAACAATTTAGAGCGGATTTTGATTCCCGATCTTTATGAAGCAAAATCATGTTCTTTGCTTCTGCAACAAATTCAATATAATCTTCCAAACTCATACTGTAAGCAGATATCTAGATTCCTTTGAAGAATGAATCAAGACGATAGCTCCAAGAACGTGATCAAACATTTAACAGCCCTTAAACTAAAGCGGTTTGCCTATCGCAAACTTTAAACACGCACACAGATTCGTGATTGTGCCAAGGACACTGATATTACGAACGAAAACTTCCCTGGCCGAATATTTACCGGATCTTCATCAAAACTAGAGCAATTAATAGAAGGTATAGTTGGCGCGTTCCTTCCAAATCTATCTTACAAAGCGATGGCCCGTTTGTAGCTGCTGTCGAGGGTATTTTGGACCCGTTTCGTGCTAATGAATCATAAATCTCGCTGTAACGGAAAGTATAGATGTGTCTGAAATGACCCCTTGCGTGCCATTCTATGTAATATGCCGCATGCGGCGTTTTGGTTTCGACCTAGTGCAGGAAGTTGTAAACAGGAGCAAATGGGATGTTTGGTATGTACTAAATTGCTCGAAGTGTTTGTTTCAGTTGCTCTGACGTGTTCATTACTGAAGTATATTCAGTTTATGCATTTTGTGCATTACGGAGACGCATTCAAACATATGACGCACAATTATGTTTGTAATTTATATTGAAGTTATGCTGCGAAACTGTGTGATTGTATTGCGCAGAGTTAGTTTTGTCGTGGTACCTAAATTACTGTCTGTCGTTAAATAAAGAACAATGTTTTAAGGTATTTTTATAAACTCATGATAATCAGAAGAAAATCAGTACAATGAAAATGGTGAATTAATCATCGGATTTCATTTTTTAAATTTAATTGATAAGATAATTCCAAAATTAATTCTGATCTAACGTTTTTAGAAAAAGTGTGTATATTTCATTTAAATATTAACCTAGCATTAAAATTTTCTCCTGCATAAAAATTTCATATAATTATTCTACGTTTTCTGTGATGTTGCTGACCACACACTGTTTCTTTAACTTAATTATTCATTGTTTATTTAGCACTTATACTTTCTTTTTAGTTTCGTTTGGAATTTTTAGGTTAATTTTTTATTTGTTCCTCGATGCAAGCGATAACCTAATGTACCCATTTTGATGCATTCCTTTAATTGACTTCCTTAATTGACTCCTCTGGGAGTAAATGAAGCAGAATTTCCTTTGTAAAATATTTTAGAATAGTGGCGACTCTTTGTCCAGGTTGCAAAAAAAATTTTTTTTTAAAACTGAAATTGGCCTCTTAGACTAGAATGAAGAACGTCACTGAATTATTACAGGATAGATAGAAAAAAAAGACCATAAACCACCTAAATAAAGATGTAAAATGTAGTTGAAAATGTTT